TGCGAGAGGTCCCGAGTTCGATCCCTGGAGGATCCGCTTTCTGATCCACAGGTTCTTCAATGAGGACATGCGTCCTATTCCCTGCGCCTCCGCCATTCGTAGGATGACCCTCCTTTCACGCGTAATGGAAATGAATCCATTTCCTAGTGGCTGAAACTCTCCCGTCTCAGGGAGCAATGCATCGCGGCCTTACTAAACGAGCAGTACTTCAGGAGAAGGGAGTGGCTGACAGCCTCGATCAAGTGAGGTCATCTTGCTATGACGTTTGATCTTCGAATGTCCCTTTCCCTGTTCGGGCTAGTTATCTTCTTCGCCGTCGCCGGTCAAGTGGCTTTGACAGCTGTTTTGTATGCCTGCTTTGTAGATACTGGGAGACTTTGACAGTGCTGTGAAGCAACACGGTGTGAAGGCTGAGTGCCTCATGCTGGGTAACATCAAGAAGGATTTCGTGGAGGAGGTGGGACTGCTTTCGACGATCCTCTTTTCGCTATCGTTAGTGGTGTTAGATAGAAAGCATGGTGGAGGCTGAGATGAAGGCACACTCAATCCAGCATCTGAAAGTAAGCCACGTTTTGATTGGGTCGAGGCTGTTGTGCAAAAGGGGAGCAGCTGTAGAAGAGGTTGTCGTAGTGGAATTATTCACACCTTCATTTAGGCCAGCGAATTCCCTCGTCTCCAATGTTTGGAGATTCCGTTGGGTCACACAGTGTACCTTGAAGAGACCCAGGACCCCACAGAACAAAACAGTGTGGTGAGTAAAGGAACAAGACGATCGATCGGAGTTCATCGTCGTTCAGCTGGAGACATATTTCCAGTGCTCTTCGAATAACATTCGGGAACGAGTTCTGCTGGACCTGTTGGAGTCTGTCATGGAGGAGCCACTCTTCGATACACTACGGACGAAGCAACAACTCGGATACAGTGTTTTCTGTGGCGTTAGGCTCACTGGAGGGGTCGGCTGGTTTGGAAGGCTCCTGTTGATAATAGGTCTACCCGTCAGGTCCTCGGCTACGTGGTGGTCGTGCAGTCGGCAGTTGCAGGCCCGGCAACTCTGTGGGAGAGAGTTGATGAGTTCTTGCGGGACTTCAGGTTAGCAGTCGGATTGAAAGAGTTTATTTCATCGTAGAGTTTAGGAAGTCGGTATTGGTGGACATGAGCGAGGAAACCTTCGCCTCACATGTTGTGTCCTTGGCACGGAGTAAGTTGGAGCCGCCACGCACCTTGACGGAAGAGGCCACGACTATGTGGTGTGAGGTACGGCAACCGTGCTGAAGTGTGGTGACACCAGGGATTGATGTCTCACCCGTAGGTCCAGGAGAGTCGATACAACTGGAACGGTTGCATCGAGGAGACCAAGGAGCTCGCTGGCATGAAGAAGCAGGACTTGATCGACTTGTATGACGAGTAAGGCCACTCAGAGATTCGAGTGGTAGTGTTGAAATACGATTGTTAGGTTCTTCTCGGAGGAGAATCGCAGGAGAATATTCAGCGTAGCGCTCGTCGGCTCAGGCTCTAAATACAGTTATGATGCTGAAAAGAAGAGCTTCCAGTAAGATTGATCGTAGAGTGTGATAGCAGCGATGCAGATGCCTCATTCAGGTCCATGAAGGGCGTTGCCTTGGCTGACTCCGTTCAAGAGTTTAGAGCCAGCTCCCATTATCTTGAGAACCCTAGCTATCGAGGACAGTGAATCGGAAAGGGTTAGTTTCTGTGTTACCGGAACCTGTCGATGATAATAAAAGTTCTCTGAGATGATTTTTCTTGGTGTTCATGGTGGCAGTGGATGGTGGCATATATAAGTCATTCCTGGATCATTGTATAATGCTTATTGAGCAAGCGGCGGGTAGCGATCCGGACGCTGCTGCGGAA